CACTTTCTCTTTCTCTCTCTCCGAAGGATTGTAGTGCAGTTCGTCCCGTTTCATCTTATTATCATCACTTCCATGCTTTTCTTCTTCCTCATCAGCATAGTGAAATTATCTTCATCCTCATCTTCTTCCTTATCTTCATCCTCATCATCTTCATACTCATTATCATCTTCATCATCATCATCACACACGTTACCATCATCATATACGTCATCTTCGTCATCATTACCATCATCACCATCCTCATCATCATCACCATTTCGGAGGACGGACTCATACCAAGAACAGGAGCGAACGCACCCACTAACAACAGAAGACTAAAAGTGCATTGAGATTACGACGGACTACAACAATGTGCTATCAATTACCTTTAACGCTTTAAAATAACAATAAACACACACATACACTCGCACACACTCACATTAAACATTGAACACACACACGCACACACACACACACACACACACACAGACGCTTGTATCCTCACACATTATCCATGTAAACACATATTTACACATGTTCACATACACACCAACTCCTACACAAACATACACACACATATGCACACACATATATTCACAATAACTGCACGCACACACACACAGACACACACATGCAGCCAAACACCTACGTATAAACAAACGATGGCTTTTTTTAAATTTTTTCATACACAAAAAAGCTTAATTACATCGTGTTTTTATCATGTTTGATTCAAGTGTCATCTTTAATTAAGGTTATTATTAATTAATTCATTAGTTAATTAATTAATTAGTTATTTTTATTAAAAAAGAGTATTTTTAAAATCATAGACCTCCACATGGGATATTTACGGCTGAAAGTGTAGCTGATACTTTTACTACAACTGTGATCCTAATTACCACTCCTTCTACTTCTACTACAACTACTACTACTACTACTACTGTTACTACTACTATTGCTACTACTATTACTACAACTACAACAAAAGCGACTTCTACAACTACCACTACTACCACTACTACTACTACTACTACTACCACCACTACTATCTTCATTATTGTTCTACATATAGTATTTTAATTCCTCCTACCAGCCAACAGATTGCAAAAACCACATAGTTTGTTGTTACTCACCGAATCAAGATGCATCAACAAAAGCATCATCAACATCAACTAACTTTCAATTTATAAGGCTGGAAAAAAAACGAATAAAACATGTGTGTAGGTGTGTATGTGTGTGTGTGTGTGTATGTGTGTGTGTATATACGTGTGTGTGTGTGTGTGTATGTGTGCGTATATGCTTTAACATCAAAAGCTTCTTTGTTATGGAATTCATTTTTAAACGTTTCAATTACGCAATGTTAGGTTTGAAAAAAGTTTCTTTTGCATTATTCCCACGTGTGTGTGTGTGCGTGCGTCCGTGTTTGTGTGTGTGTGTGCGTCCGTGTTTGTGTGTGTGTGTGCGTGCGTGGGTGTATGTCTTTGTGTGTTATATAAAATTATAGAGTCATATAGATATATATATTTTTATATAGAATTGTGTAGATTTATAGAGGCTTATATAGAGGGTTATATAAAGGGTTATGTAGAGTTATATTCAGTTATATATGGTTATATAAAATTGTATAGAGTTGTAAAGGTTTATATAGATTTGTATATAGAGTTTTATACGGTTATATAGAGTTATATAAGTTTATATTGAGTTATATCGGATTATACAGAGTTCTATTCTCGGATGTAGATGTAATTTTTTTCCATTTTTTCCAATCCCGGCCCGTCACTCCCGATTTCCAATTTTCTAAAATTCCCATTCCAGAAAATTAAGCTTTCCCAATGCCCATGGCATTCCCTTGATTCCCGATCCCAGGCTCACCTCTAGTACTCACGCACACAAACACACAGACACACACGCGCACACACACACATACAGAAAGACACACAAACACACACACACGCCCTAACCTTTATATATATATGTATATATATATATATATACATTACTATCTACATGTATATAGGTACAAACGCGTGTATAGAACTGGGGTGTATTTATGATCACGTAAGTTCGAATTTTATGTTTAATAAATTCAAGAAGTTATTATTTATTATTCGTAATAAAATTCAATTAAATGTGAATAATATATTTATTGCGTGTGTGTGTGTGTGTGTGTGTGTGTGTGTGTGTACATATGAATCGTACACAAGTAAGTTACGTGTGTTCTTGTGCGGTGTTCGCTAAGATGAAAGTAACAATGTACTTTTGATGTCTTATTAATTCCAAATACCGTTCATCCATCCACCCATCCATCCATCTATCCATCCATCCATCCATCCAGTCATTCATTTATCTATTCAATCTTCTATGATTGAATCCATATCATTCTATCCTTTTTCCATTAATTCATTCATTAATTTATTAATTCATTAATTCATTCATTTATTTATTCATTCATTCATTCATTCGTTCATTCATTCAGTCAGTCAGTCAGTCAGTCAATCGTTCACCATTTTTTATCCTTCTTTCAGGCAGATACTTAGTTTGGTATATGCCTTGTATTTTTTTTTATAAAAATTTTTATAATTTACATAGTTTTTAATGTTTTAGCAGTGTTCTTTTCTTACATTTGGATGACTGGGATGGTCAGGATGAAGATGATGATGGTTAAAATGATGACAAAGAAGAAGACGATGATGATTATGATGATGAAGATGGCGATGATGATGTTGTTGAAGAAAGTTACAACAAAGTTCTCAACTATGGCGATGTTTGTATGATTGTGACCATGAAAAAGAAAATGATTATGACTAAGAGAATGATAAATTTTAGGATCATCATATATTTATGATAATGAGAGAGATAACGAAGATGAGAAAGAGGACGAAGATGGTGATGGCATAGAAGTTGATGACGAAGAAAATCCATTCTTGCGTCTTTAGCTTTGTAAGAAACCTAATTTTCGAAACAAACAAGTTTTTTTTTTCATTTTTTATCAGTACACCTTGAATGCAACACAAAATGTTAATTAAATCGTATAAAAAAATTTAATTTAAATAAAAACACGCTAAAGTTATGTGTAAATGTGTGTGTGGGTATGATGCGTGTATGTGTATTGTGTGCGTGCGTGTGAGTGTGTTTGTGTGTGTGTGTGTGTGTGTGTGGCCGCAATGCTTGTTAATCACGGCATATTGCACGTTTAAAATTTCTTTAAATAAATTGTCCTGATCGTATGCAGTTAATAAAACATAAATAAATTTATAAAATTATGAATCCATAATTAAGGCTGTGCACATGTAGGTGTTTTAATTATTTCATCATAATTAATCTTTGAAAATCGATCGAATACAAAATTGAAAACTATTGCGACGACAAACTTTTTCGTTGAAAATAAATTTTTCAAAATTGTATTGTCACTTCAGAAATTGCTATAAATAATAACTAATTAACTAATTGATAATAATAATTAATTAACTAATTAATAATAATAATTAATTAATTAATATGAATACACAAAAAATCAACAAACCAAAATACAGGCATCCAGCAGATCATATTTACATGCATTTATAAGTTAAACAATCGAATAACACATGCCCACTGATAATAACTAAGTTTAATTTAATATGTCAATCAATTACATATATACAGAGTCAGAAATGATTTTTTTGGTCCAATCAGCGTTAAGTATGTCACCCTGACCCATATTCAAAACCAAAGTGGGGGTGGGTTGACCCGGAAACAGGGTGCAGACCGGGAACTCTTGAGAAATAAGCCGCAGTTGAATAGTCAGTGTAAGGGTTGTGTCTCATCTTCGTTCCCGGGAAATAAGGGTCAAAGGTCGTGTAAGCTGGATAGGGTGTTAGTGGGTCAGTTGGGTAGGGAGATGATGGTGGATATCCCGGAAATCGTTGCGGCTGGGAGCATAATCCGCCTAAGGATGAATATGGATTTGTTAAAGATAAACTGTTGTTGTTGTTTGTGTGGTTGATGTTGTTGCCGCTACTACTGCTGCTGCTGTTGTGGTTCGGTGAGTACATTTTTGACATCATCATGTTGTGTTGTTGTTGCTGCTGCTGCTGATGATGATGGTGTTGCAGGATCGGACCGGGAGACTCACACGGATTAGAAATTCCCAAAAGGCCGTGATGGTGGTGGTTGATGTTGTTTGGGGTGCTGGTTATTGACGGGCAGGTTAAGCCCAGCGGACTGTCCGATACTGAATGGAATGAAAAGTTTTAAAAATTTGATGAAAAAACTAACAAACTCTAACGAAATGACAACAAATATTGATTGTTGAAACGATAAACATGCCTTTTCATGATATTTCACCAACCAAACCAACCAATTGTCATCACATGCAAAACAAATCATAAACGTATTGCGACTTTTACGCGTTATTCAACCAATTAGATGTTGTTTCACTTCGAATAAAAACCGAACAAATACAGTAAAAAAAAGAGTTTCTTACATCTTTGGCCGCTGCCACTACCACAAGAATACGTCGGAGAGTGTTTACCCTTTCCAAGGGAGGTTCCACACCCCCCTGTGGCAGTCCCGGAACTCCCATATGTACCCCCTGACACGCTGTTGGCACCATTTGTGACTGAAAACATTTGAAGAGAGCTGGGGCGATGATGGTTTCGGGGTCGTTGTTGATGGGACTGTTGTTGCTGCTGCTGATTTAACTGGCTGAGAACTTCGACGACATTGCTGTTTGTTTGTATGTTTGTTTGTATGTTTGTTTGTATGTTTGTTTGTATGTTTGTTTGTATGTTTGTTTGTATGTTTGTATATTTGTATGTTGTCTGCTTCTTGTTGTTGTACATCTATATTTCTGCTCGTTTTTCGTCGTCAAATTCTGTCAGTACATGCCGATAACAGATTATCAAACCAATAAATTCATTAACATAAAATATGCAGGTTATATGAATAAACAAGAACGCATTAACCAGGCTAATTATAATTATATGAATAAACAAGAACGCATTAACCAGGCTAATTATAATTAATTAATATTTAAATTATTA